GAGTTCAGGTGCCAGGTACATTGTAATTAGCATACAATGCTGAAATGATGGATCTTAATATCATAAGAGAACAAATATACATATTTGGTAAACTCCCTAATATGCCTAATACACCAGCATAGCATGGTCCATTAGTTCCAGGACAGTGGATTGCAGGCAGGGGGGTATGTTCTCTTTGTAGCTACTTAGTATCCATGCGCAGGAAAAAGATTAATGCAAGAGTTGTCAAAAGAAAAGTGATAAGACAGAGCGATGAAACACTTGCTATTATATTACTAATAGATTTCGAAGTCTAATTCCAAGAATGCAAAGAAAATTGCATTATGGCTTAATGAAAACATTCATGACACAGAAGCGACAGACAGTCCACTATATAAGAAACGTTTTATAAAACAGTGATAATGTCCATACTGTCAGTTACACTAGCTGTTGATTAAAAAATCAGGAATTATAACAGCATAACTATTTTTGGAGTCTGGAATTTCCAGCCAAGGTTGCGAGAGATACAGAGACATGTAAACACTGCTTCCATTCCAAGGAATTGTTTTATATTCCAAATTATGAACAACATTATTACATACAGCCATAAAGAGAAAGACATGGATTTAAAATACATTCAGTGCAGTACAATGCAGTACACTGCAGCATATATTTTATATAATATATGATAAATAGCTCATATTTTTTTTCTAAACGGAGTTGAAATTATACCACCCTCATAGAAAAAGGGCAACAGGTGGTTATACATCCTTTGCTTCTCTAAATGCTCTGCAAAAATAAATATATATAAATGATTAAAAATAATATATATGTAAGATAAATCAGGGCAAAATAAAATTGTAACTATACAGAATCTCTGATAACTTTTAAACTGAAATTATTAAAGGCTTATTTAAATAAAATGTTAAATACATTTACAGCTTTAAATGTGACCAAAATATACTAAATGATGTGTTAAGCAGCCAGCCCAATTCAATTCAATAGCATAAGTATTCTACTATTTAAAGTGCACAATTCCTGCACATAATGACTTTGCTTACTCGGGTACAGTCTTTAGTCTATTGCAATGGCAGGACAATTAAAGTACACCAATTTTAAAAGGGAAAGCTTACTTAAATAAGTGGTACCAGGCTTCTCCAATGCAATGTGGCGAGATTGCTCTCATCACATTATCTGTTACCCTCAATTTTATGATGTCAATTTTATGCCTCACGGCTCATTTACATTTACTCTTATTTATTTTTTCCATTTTTAATAATGGACTATTTATGTGAAAGTCCTTGAATTTCTGTTTACATATCATGGTATTCTGCTATTTGAGGTTTTTATTATGTATCATACTATGTATTTGTTTTTTTATGTATAACTTTTTACCGATACTTTAAGTATTTAAGACAATTATGTACTCTGTATGCTCTTTGTTGCCTACTAAGAATATAAATAGACTTATTTCCATCCAACATATACTAATATACATTATTCTAAATTCATATTACTTTTTTATACTATTCTTTATTTTTTCCTCCCCTTACCAGCACTATTTATATTACTTATTAGGCTGGTAGTAATGAATGTTAGGGGTCATATGGGATTTAGGCAGTATGTGTAAACACAGATCGCAAAATCTTTAAGGACGTTTTTCAAATGGAACGTCCTTAGTGCGACTGTGTACATTATCAATAAAGTTTTTCTGCACTCCAGCATGGTCGCGCATGCGGGGGCCAGTCACGCGTGCGTCATGACGTATGACGGTGCGCGTGACGTGGCGCACGCATGGGCGACGGCAGAAGTGATCACACAGACCGGCGGATTCAAAAGGGAAGAGGATTCTGAAGTGAGGAGATGCTCCTGAGGAAGTCGCAAGACGAAACGCGTTGAGCTCCTTTTCGGACCCTGTAGCTTGGTATCAGCAGTTTTATTTCACATATTTACTGGTTTTTGAATGCTTGTGCAATACTTTGCCCTTAGTTCATTATCACTTGAACTTATATGTGACTGATACTTGTGCACTTTTGTTTGTACATCTATTTGCACTTTAGCACTTGCACTTTGTCTATCAAGTATTCTATTGTGTTCAAACTACTGTACCTAAGGGTTTTGTTTTGTGCTGCCAATAGGGATATTTTATGATCAATAAATTCTTGTTATTTTTATCCTTGTCATTATACTCCATTCTTTTTCTTTTTACCCCATTTGCATTGCCTATTTAGTCATTTTGTTTAAACACTCTCACACTATGAACGGCCTTGTAATTCCTATGCACTCTAAAAGTTGGCTTTTAAATGTTATTGTTTTAACTTTAATATTTCATAGTTAATACAGAGGATAAAGTAATTTAAAGAAAGTATATTGAACGTATATTAAATGATAGGATTTCATTTATATATCTTGGTCCACTGTCTCTCAGTCTGGTGTTCAAACAGTTTTTCTTACGATACGTCGTGAGTTTATATCCACATCTGCATTTTGCTTTGTGGTAACAAATTGAAAGCCTGGCATTGTACTATGTGTATGCACATGCTTATAACAAAGCTTGGTCCCTCTCCTCATGTAGTTGGTCATTAACAGGCACTTTGATGCAATGTGTCTACCAACGCTTTTCTGTGGTCACTGAATTACAAAAGCATACCTTATCTCTCAGTCATGATGCAGAGTTTATGCTTGCAAGGATAACCAGACCTAATCCACCTGCTTATCCACATAATTACTTCTATATTTTAGAGGGGTTAATTACATAATAACCATTGAGGGCAGTGGCGTACTAAGGAGGGGGCGGGGGGGGCGGTCCGTCCCGGGTGCCAGCCGGGTGGGGGGTGCCATGGCCAGCCCCGCCGCCCCCCCCCCATGCTGCAGCCGCCCGAGCGCTCTGTATAGAGCCTCAGGCGGCTGCAGCTTTGCCCGGCCGGTGCGTCCATGAGGGCGGACCGCACCACCCGGGCGCAGCCTGAGAAAGGGGGCTGACAGGAGGGAAGCGCTGAGCGCTCCCTCCTGTCAGCTTCCTTTGCTGTAGCGTGGTCGAGCCCTGCAGCATTGATAGGGAACACTGAGTGTGCACTTCCTGTTAGTCCGGCCGGGTACAGGAGACAGCTGCCCTCTGTACCCGCGGACTATACTGGGCTCGGCCACGCTACAGAAAAGGTGGGGGGGGGGTGAAAGAGGAGAATGGGGGGTGGAGAAAGAGGAGAAGGGGGGAGAAAGAGAAAGGGGGGGTGAAAAAGGAGGGGGTGAAAAGAGGAGAGAGGAGGGTGAAAAGGAGAAGGGGGGTGAGAGAGGGGTGAGAGGAGAAAGGGGGGGACAAAGGGGGGGTGAAAAGGAGAGAGGGGGTGAAAGGAGAAAGGGGGGGTGAAAAGAGGAGGAGAGGGGGGGTGAAAAAAGGAGAAAGGAGGGGTGAGGAGGGGGTGAGAAAGAGGAGAAAGGGGGGTGAGAAAGGAGAGGGGGGTGAGAAAGGAGGGAGGGTGAGAAAGAGGAGAAAGGGGGGGTGAGAAAGGAGGTGAGAAAGAGAAAGGAGGGGGAGAGAAAGAGAAAGGAGAGGGGGGTGAGAGAGAAATTAGGAGGGGGGAAGAGAAATTAGGAGGGAGGGAGAGATATTAGGAGGGAGGGAGAGATATTAGGAGGGGGGAAAGAGAAATTAGGGGGGAGAGAAATAGAAATTAGGAGAGGAAATTAGGGGAGAGAAATTGAAATTAGGAGGGGGTAGAGAAATTAGGAGGGGGGAAGAGAGGAAATTAGGAGGGGGGTGAGAAAGAGAAATTGGGAGGAGGAGAAGGAAATTGGAGCGGGAGGAGAGATTGACATTCATCACATACACACAATGCACCCCTTGCACACAGAAAAACACACAATGCATTACACACACAGACACACATACACAAGCAATGCAACCGTTACACACAATGCATCCCTTACACACACAGAAACACACAATGCATTCATTACACACACTCAATGCACCCCTTACACACATTCAATGCATCCCATACATACACAGAAACACACCTTGCAGCCCTTACACATACAAACACAATTTCACACAATGCATTCCTTACACACATATCAGGACATCCCCTACACACTCCACCCCCTGTGAACAAACTCATTGGTGGAACATGAAGGTGGACCCTGGGACCCAGACCTTGAGCTGTGTAAAGGACCCCCAAAAAATGGAGCTGCTTCCCGTTCTCCCAGAACATTGATTTTTGTGACCACAGTTACAAACCGCCTCCAGAGAGCCTGTTCTGCACCAGACCAGTGGAGCCAGACTGCAGCTAGAGCCCATCATCATCCTCATCTGGTTGTAAGTAGGCAATCTAGTATATTATTCGTGGCACTAAGCTCTAATTTACCTCACATTAAAGAAACACTATAGTCCCCAGAACCACTTCAGCTTAATGTAGTGGTTCTGGTGTCTATAGCCTGTCCTTGCAGGCCTTTTAATGTAAACACGGCGGCACTGCAGCACTGACGTTAGTTAACATGGCACATCATATGGGTGGGGCATTGTGATGTCACATGGGGGGGGGGCGGCAAACTTTACTTTTGCCTAGGGCGGCAAAAATCCTTGCACCGGCCCTGGCTGGAGGGGGCTGTGTGAGCTGTGGCCGCACAGTGTCCCATGGTAGTTAGGGTGCCGTGCGGCCAGTACAGCTCACACAAGCAAACAGCTGATAAACTGGCCGCACGGAGGAAATGTGTATGTGTGACTGTCTGCCTGTATGTGACTGTCTGCCTGTAACTGAGTGTGTGACTGTTTGTAACTGAGTGTGTGACTGTCTGCCTGTAAATGTGTGTGTGGGGCTGCAGGGATTTTGTAGAAGGGGGCGGGGGTTTTGTATTGGGACAGGAGTCTTTACAAATTGTAAAAAAAAAAAAGAGAACCTTTAAAATTTTTTACAGGTTTTTTGGGGGTGCCAAGCACAGGATCCGCCCCGGGTGCCAAATGCTCTAGGTACGCCCCTGGGTGATAAAATAAGGAAGAAACACAAAAGTGCTAAAAGGCAGTTCCTGTACACACCTCCGTTACCAAGATTTTTTTAATTTTACAATCAGCATATACAAAGACAACATTTACAACTGATATAACTTAGAGAATAAGAATTAATTCTAAATATATTCTTAACCGTAAATAAGGTACCTTTAAAAAAAAGGATAGGAGGTATTATTTATAGTTTAAACATGAAAAAGCTTTGCTTTAGTGAAATGATGGGTAGTAAATAAAATTTTAATCACAGTTTTAGTATGTTTAACATTCACAATGCAGATCTCATGTTATTCCATTGCTGCTTCATAAAACCTTGGAGTTGACTATACCATTCCCTATATTCAGAACAACACAATGCTTCTCTTTAATGAGAGTTCTCTGATGGCTAACAAAATGTGCATGCTGGCTAACATATTTCCCATATTAAGAACATGAAAAAGGCTTTTCTCCTGTGTGAGTTCTGCGATGTCTAACAAGATGTGAGTGAATGCTAAAACTTTTCCCACATTCAGAACAAGAGAAGGGCTTTTCACCTGTATGAGTTCTTTTATGCACAATAAGGTGTGAGCGCTGGCTATAGCATTTCCCACACTCAGAACACGAAAAAGGCATCTCTCCTGTGTGAGTTCTCTGATGATTCACAAGATGCGATTTACTGACACACCTTTTCCCACATTCAGAACATGAGAAAGGCTTTTCTCCTGTGTGAGTTCTATTGTGCATAATAAGGTTTGAGTGCCGGTTGAAGCATTTTCCGCATTCAGAACACGAGAAAGGCTTTTCCCCTGTATGAGTTCTCTGATGAGTCACAAGATATGATTTACTGACAAACCTTTTCCCACATTCAGAACATGAGAAAGGCTTTTCTCCTGTGTGAGTTCTATTGTGCATAACAAGGTTTGAGTGCCGGCTAAAGCACTTCCCACATTCAGAACACGAGAAAGGCTTCTCTCCTGTGTGAGTTTTCTGATGTTTCACAAGTTCTGATTTACTGACAAAACATTTCTCACACATAGAACATAAGTACGGTCTCTCTCCTGTGTGAGTTCTTTGATGTATAGTAAGACTTGAGTTTTGGCTGTAGCATTTCCCACAGTCAGGACATGAGAATGCTTTCTCTCCTGTGTGAGTTCTCAAATGTATCACAAGCTCAGCTTTACTGGGAAAAGATTTACCACATTCAGAACACGAAAAAGGGTTTTCCCCTGTGTGAGTTCTGTGATGTCTAACAAGATGTGAGTGAATGCTAAACCTTTTCGAACATTCAGAACAAGAGAAAGGCTTTTCCTCTGTGTGAGTTCTATTATGCCTAACAAGGTGTGAGCGCCGGCTAAAGCATTTCCCACATTCAGAACATGAGAAAGGCTTCTCTCCTGTGTGAGTTCTCTGATGTTTCACAAGATCTGATTTACTGACAGAACATTTCCCACATTCAGAACATGAGAAAGGCTTCTCTCCGGTATGTGTTCTCTGATGTGTGACAAGTTCTGATTTACGGACAAAACATTTCTCACACACTGAACATAAGTACGGTCTCTCTCCTGAGTGAGTTCTTCGATGTATAGTAAGACTTGAGTTTTGGCTGTAGCTTTTCCCACAATCAGGACATGAGAATGTTTTCTTTTCTGTGTGAATTCTCGGTTTTGCAAGATAGGAGTTACATGGAAAAGAAGAGAATGGCATTTCTCCTGTGTGGACAACAAATTCTGAACAATGAAAACATTTCCACCATTCAGAACATGGGAAATGTTTTTGGTTTCTGTTTACTATCTGACTTGAATATGTACATGGTTCTGAGCGATTGTTTGACTTTTGAGGAATTAATTCCTTGGTCCTTTTATTACAATATTTATTTAGAGTATTGCTTAGTGCACTTTTGTTCCTGTCCTGTCCTTCAGGATAACTTCTGCTGTTGGAACCACCTGCAAGAAATGTAATGTACTTGGAGTTAAATAAAACCTGTCACTAGAAATTATTCTTTTTTTACCAAAATATTTTTATGAAAGATCGGAATTTTGACTATAGAGCATCACGGTGATTGCAAAGGACCATAACTACTTAAGGATCACATGATGGTCTATGCAGTGTATGGTTTTAATGCACAATGACAGCATAGACCATCATGCAGTAAAAGTACCAGCAGGGGTTAAATTAAATCCCTGCTGGTACCATGGACCCTGGGTGTCCTTTCTATCAACTCAAGCCAGAATAAGTGGTCCCAGACTGAATAATGCTCGGTTTGCAGAGCTCAACGTGAGCGCTGCGATCAGAGATTTAACTCCCCATTGTTACAATAAGGTGTTAAATCCTTGCTCACACCAGGAAACCCAGGTATCAATAGATAACCGTGTCTCCTCTGTCAGCTGGGGCCATTTTTAGTGACAGGTGAGCTGCAAACAGAGTGAGTTCGGCATGCAGATCTTTCAATTGGGATTTATATCTCCATAGTGAGCAAAGTTTGAATATGAAATTGTGTATACACACAATTACTTTAATTTGCTTTAAAAATATAATTTAGTCCATAAAGCCTCACCTACCTTAATTTAAATGTCAGGAATGAGAACCAGCTTATACAGAAACACATTTCTCTGCAAGTCTTTCATTCCACCTTTTAAATGTCTGCAAATATCCTGATAATGACAATTACCCCCCACCTTCCACACAGTAAAGGAAACTTCATAGGTCATACCATTCCTACAGTCAGGAATGGAGGGAGATGTGAATAGGGTCCTTTAACATTACGTTAGCATTGCAGAGATTGTTAGAAAACATTTTGAAATTCCTTTATTTTAGAAACAATGTAACTGTATTTGCTGTATATGGGAGCTATGCTAGTGCGAGCATTGTTTTCACATGATATCACTATTTTAATACACTGTACTGCTAATAATGCTATTGGGCTTACATATACATACAATCAGGGTATTTGGCCTTTTTTTTGTCCTAGCTACTGTATGGGAGAAAAAACGTGCATTTTTATTTTTACAAATATTTCAGACACTGAAATATTGCAAAAAAGGGATACTGTATATACTGTGTAAAGCATTTCACTAGAGGATGAACAAATAAATGGAGAGAAAAAAACTACTATACATTTTCATGTATGGACAGCAATAGACACCATTGATATTTAACATATTTATATACTAGATATGTATTACATGTATCAAATATATCCTATGCTAAGATTTTTTAACCCAAACACAAAGGCCTTGATTTAATTATTTTGCATACACTTTTCAAATTATCCCAATCTTTTAGAAAAACCTCTCAAATTATTTATCCACAGTTTCAAAGTTTTTCTAACAGGTTTTGATTTTAAAAGCATATCCAAAATAATTCAATCAAGGCCAAATTGATTGTAGTGAAGGTGATAAAACGGTACTGTCATATAGAACTTACCTTTATCCTATTGTTTCCTCTTCTCTTCCTCTCTCTGTTCTCTTCCTCTCATCTTATCTACTTTGTCTTATGTATATTTCCTACGCTTGACCTTCTTTGACTAAAGGAGGAACTTAGTCAGTACCATGTCCTGTGGGTCAAATAATTTTCCCACAATACTCACCCTCTTCCCTGTTCTCGCGATGAATCCTTTCACTATTCCTGTACGTCCTGTCATTTATACGAATGAATGAAATTGTGATCTGATCCATGCCACTTATGGTCCCCACCCACAGCTTTAATAAACTAAACCAACCAACAAAGGCCAAATTGAAATTCGATTTTCGTTCATTCTTTTTAATTTCTATTTGTTAATTGGTCATTTTGACGAATGAACAAATAGCCTAAATTCCTGTCCGGACTTCAGACAAAAGCGAATGCCCAACACTAAGCCTAGTATACCTAAGTCTCGGCTAGTGCTTGGGTGAATCTGCTACACTGCTATAAATACTAAAACATACTTTGGGATCTATAATGACTGAGGGAAAGGGAATCCTTGGAGGCAACACTCGGATGGGCCACCACATTACGCTTGGAGGACTTAGGACTAGGGGATACTGGTCTACAATAAGGATTGTAATTCCTACAGTCACTTAAGAGTTGATAGAAGATCACGATACCAAGTTACGCGTAAAATTATGATGCCTTTATGATGTAATAGAATAGCAGGAAGAAAGTAAAATTAAATAACTAAACAACAGATCCAAAGCACGAAGTCAACTAAAAATTTTGCCCTTGCACCTGGGATTTGGCAGCCATTAGTAAAGGCGGCCACTCAAGGGAGCATTAAAACTGGCCACCTGGGGGAACACTGAAAATAGCCGTCGTATGAAGCATGGAGGAGGCTGGCTGAAGTATCAATTATCTTCCTGCAGTTCCTCTCTTCTCTCTTGCACGCGGTTTAGTGACGCCGGGAGCTAGAATCTGATGTCATCACCGGCATCACACCAAAGAGCGCGCAGGGGAGCAGTAGCAGGAAGATTAGAAAGCAGCGACACTGGACCCCAGGGAAATGATCCACTCATCTCTCCTAAAGGTAAAGAAGCTGGGTGGACTTAAATTAAAACAAACATGTCAAATTGTGAGTGTGCGAAAAATGTGTGTGTCTGTCAGAGTGTTTGTGTGTCTGTGTATATGTGTGTCTTTTTAGGTATGTGCCCCCCTCCAATCGCATCAGAAAGGTGTTTTTACTTACCCCAGTTTTGCCATGGCTGAGATTCTCAATCTTTATGAACTCCGCTAAGCCAATGCTTTCCCTTAGGAAAGCATAGGGAGGATGTTGCGCATGCGCAGCAAAACTCTGCGCTGTACCAATCAGCATTTCCTCAAAAAGATGCTTGAAAAGGCAGTGTTTACATTAAAAAGCCCGCAGCAACAGGCTATAGACACCAGAACAACTACATTAAGTTGTAGTGGTTTTGGCGACTTAACTGTCCCTTTAAGAATTGCATTTTTCTCATTGAAAATTTAAATTTGTTAGTTTAAAAAAACCCTGTCTCCTAACTTTTTGCTAGCTCCCACATTTCAAACAAAGCAATACCAGATAGCCGAGAACTAAACAATATTTGCAAATCACAGCAGCTGCAATGAACAGTCTCTCCCTTTAACCTGGTAACAAAGCACAACAGAGTCTGTCTGGGGCATAATGAGTAACTAAACACTGCAAACTCTCACCACACTGAGCTGTATGGAGAGCTTCACAATAATTCAGCTCCCCTGCAGAGATCAGGAAGGTAGAGAAGCCTGGAAAAAAGAAAAGCCAAGATCTCTGACCCATAAAGGAGCCTAATACCACCTACATGTTTATTACTAACCTGGGCCAGTATTCAAAAGACTATCCTGCAGGTGGCTCCTGACATACGGCTCTTCCCCTCGCTCAATCGCTGATATAATCAAAGGCGTCATGTGAATCCTTCCTGTATTTAACGGGACACATTATTAACAATTAGAATTTAAAGATACACATTTATTATGATTACGATGAGTTAGGAACATAGGTGAAGAAATGTCAATTTGTCCCAGATATGAATATGTTCTTATGAGAAAGATTTCCTCTAAATAGGGTGAAGTTTTCTTACCCAGAGAGCTGAGGGTCTGGTAATTCTCCATCATCACATCCCGGTAAAGCTCCTTCTCTTCATAATTTAAATAGTCCCACTCCTCCTCGGAGAAGTAAACGGCCACTTCCTCAAACTCACACTGATCCTAAATAAGAAATGTCATTGTTACAGATCATCAATCTACAACAGGATTAATTGGCCAGACATTAACTATAACTACTACAAATTATAGCCTTTAATTGTTTCAGATAAGCTTTTCAAAGGAAAATTACCATAGACTTCAATGGTGGATTCTGTAGATAAATAATTAGAAAAGATTTTCTAACAGATTGAGATCATTTGAAATGTTTATCCAAAACAATTAAATTGAGCGTGATATTCTCATCAAGATTCTTCTCTTTCTCTCCCTCTACCATATCCTCGAGTTATACTTCCCTATCACAAAGACAGAAAGATAGGATAAAACAATAGAAGTGTATTTTGTGAATATATCCCTTACCGGTCTGTTCAGCTGGTAGTCCATCTCTGAGACTTGATACAGATCTCTCAATCCCTTCCACCTTCTTCTAGGGTTTTTGTCTAGGAGTCACTGGATGACTTGCCATCTCCAAACAATGGACTCCAGTGCCAGCAGAGATTGGTGACCTTGTTGGGTCCTAGTGTGAGGGACATAAATCAAAGGAATTAACCTACTGGATATAAATATAGCGGTCAGGCATTCTCCATCATGAAATTAGTGTAAATGTTTGTTTTTTGAGTTTTTCCCCCCCCCCATTTTAAAAGCTGCTCTGTTTAATTTGAAAAGACCACCAACAGTAACATCACCTACTGGGGGTTCTGTAACCATGGGGGGCAAGGTAAGGTAGGTTTTTACATACCTAAACCTTTCCCTTGCAGACACCTCAATCCTCTTCCATCCAGTCTTCTTCAGCTCCTGGTGCTTCAACTGCCAAGTGCCAACTTCAACACTGGGCTATTGCGCATGCTCAAGAGTACAGCACTGATGGAGGATCATGCGAGTCAATAAGATTCTTCATATTAATAGCCTTTTACCCCCTACAGCCATCACTGGCTTGACAAAGAATGTCACCTTTTGTCAAGCAGAGAAAAATGTGGACACAAAGAAGTCCCTACTTTGTCTCAGTATATCTGTTGGAGTCAACCTTTCTTCCTGTATCAGATGCTATAATACTAAGCCCACTTATCTGTGCACCCCAACTTTGGGCCAAACGTTCGGGGTAGCAGCCTCTCAGTGATACACAGACACAGTTTTTCAAATCGGATTAACACAGTTTATTTAAAGTCAGGTAAACATATTTATTGCAAAAGTTACGTAACAAGAGATTACATCGGAACATAGAAAAGCTGCACAGGTTACATGCTTCGCTCAACCACCATGGCCATTAAACAACCTAGAAATAAAGTTGTGGGCTTTCCTAGTAAAAATACAATCCTTAAAGGAGAAACGTACCTGGAAACCCACAACAAAACCTGTTTGGACACTCCAGTTATGTCCTGGGGCTTAACCCCTATGAAATTCGATGAATAAGAAAAAAGCTTAAACGTTGGAAAAACTAGTCCAGCAAAATAAGCTTAAAACTGGAGAAATAATGGTGTAAATAAAAGTAATTATCAAAATCATTCAAATACCTCTTCAAAATATCTACCTAAGTTATAATGAACCAAAACCTCTAAATCGTGTTATCAACCAAAGAAGGTTAACCTCTCTTAGCACCGAAAGGCGCGTCGGGTTTTTCCGCTCTCACTCTTTATCACTGTCACATTGGGGCACTTTCACTACTATCATGGGCAGGCAGCCAACACTCTAAGTATGGCTATGCACATATTTTAATAACTTTCTAAACCTCCCTTTCTGTCCTGATCACCCTATCACTGCCCTCCCCAGAGAGAAAGTGCTGATATCCTCCATGCGTGGCTCTCTGCCTCCGCTACTTAATCCAGAGTTAGCTTTCCTAAAAGTCCTACAATGCAGAGCTAACCCATTAACTGAGTGTGTCAGCTGATTCCTCTCAGCCAATGGGCCAAGACCTGTACCACATGACTCAGCTCCGAGAGCTTACAGCACTCTGGCAGAAGTAGAGGTGCCCAGAGGATTCCATATGAGAAGTTAAAACATTCAATACTATCATTCTATTTCTCAATTATGAATGCCTCTGTTCTCTCTCCTTCCATGTTGCCCCATCTCTTTCCCTCTGCCTCAATGCTGCCACTCCTGTCTCTCCCTCCATCTTGCCCTTTCTCTTTCTCTCCATGCTGCATCCCATCTTTCTCTCCATGTTACCCCCCTCTCTCTACACGTTACCCCCTCCTTTCCCCATGTTAACCCCCTCTCTCTCCATGCTACCCCACTCTCTCTCCACGTTACCCCCTCTGTCTCTCAATGTTAGCCTCTCTCTCCCCTCTCTCACTCTCCATGTAACTAATTTCGGAGATGTAAAGAGCCTTGAGCCTCAGACTTTCGATGCTGATATATCCGCCTCTTTACATCCAATCGCCCCTGAGGGGGCCCGGGGCTACTCATCCGTATAAAGTGTAACCCTGTACCACCTTCATGTCCCGGAGCGCCAAGCCTCAATGACCCCCTGTGGGGGTCTGTGCATAAAAAGCTCTGTGCCCAAATAAACATTGTCAAAGATTGTATCCTGGAACTGTGTCCTGTACAGTTACCGGGGAAAATTGTCTCACCTATCCTAACCAAAAGGGATAACCAGCCAGGTTACCCAGGTCCCGCTACAACTGGTGGCAAGCGGCAGGATCCCATGTCCCTGCCAATAGACCTATGGGCTACAGTACTCTAAAGCGACCTACACTGCAAGACTTATGTGAATCAAGAGGGATAACGCCTAACTCTCGTAACAAGGCCGAATTGACTGCTGCGTACCTGGAGGACGACCAGGCACGCAGTGAGGCAACTACCCCCCAGCCAGAAGCTGGCATCTGGCATATTACAGAGAGCCACCCTTAGGGGTTATCATCAGCAGGACCTTTCCGGAGGTGCAAGCCTATGTTCTTGCCAATAGACATAGGGCGACCCCCTTGAACCCAGATGGAGGAAGGATGGAAGAGAGGGCGCCGGGAAGCACAACCGCCCCGGCCTGCAAACTACCGTACAATGCCTTCAAAGAGTTCAAGGAAGCAGAAGAAGGCATCAATGACTTTTTACAAGACTTTGGGCGCCAGGGCCTACACCAAGACGTGGACCCCATCGACTGGGTCACCATCCTGGAGAGCAAATTAGTGCGGAAGGCAGCGGACGCCTACTGTCCCAGAAGACCAGATCAGGGACTACCCCTTTAACAAACAGATCCTCTTTTCCAGGTATGCGGTCACCCCCGAACAATACCACTGTAAGTTTAGGGAGACCCGGAAAGGGGAGAAGGACTCCCATGCAGAGTGGGCATGCCACATCACAAGGGTCACCCAGAACTGGCTAAACTCCCATCAAGCCAAGTCCTCGGAGATCACCCAGCTCGTCATGCTGGAACATTTTTTCAATGGGCTCCCCAACGACATCCAAGAATGGGTGAGAGACCGTATGCTACGAAATCGCTACAGACAGAGATAACGTTGTTCATTTTTATATTTCACCCAGAACCTTGCTTCGGTACTATGATTTTGTACCCAACTCTCGAACTGATTGCCTGATATTCATTCATCATATGAACAGCGGACCACCAGGCCCCTGGCGTGTGCCGCCCTTAATCCCGGTCACCTCTCTGCTACCACAACGACCCCACAGAGTTCCAGAACCCAGACGAAGAAGCCTGGAGATCACCCAGCTCATCATGATGTCAACCTCGTCCACGCCGCCAAAGATAACCGGGACCACTACAGACAGGCAGCACGGCTGAAAGGACACAAGGTCCAGTGGCTCCGAGACACAGGAGAGCTCACATTCTGAGCCCTAGGTAGGCACCCGTGTCCCTTTCCACCCACGTAAGAAGTCCTGTCAGCAAAAACCCTGAGTTTGACCCCTGCCCTCTGGGTGCCATTCCTGACCCTACACCCGGGCCGCCCATGCCCACTAACTGAACCCTGAGAGCCTACCCCTGACCCGGCCCCCCTACCATGGGATACCCCCGCTGAGTTTGAGAAGGAGGTAGCCTCCGACCCAACCCTACAGGGTTACAGAGACAAAGCCACCACAGGGGAGGTAGGGAAAGTGGGGGAGCGGTACACCTGGGAAGATGGGCGGTTAATACCGCATAGCAGTGAGGATGGTTCCCAATTACAGTGCTATCACAAAGACTTTCGACGACCTAACCAAAAATTCCTTGCCCAGACAGGAACGCTGGACCCCAGAGTGTGAGCAGGCGTTCAAAGCACTAACTAATGCCCCTGTCCTGGCTGCTCCAAATCCCAGAAAACGCTTTCTTGTTCTCGACAGATGCCTCCATATTTGGATTAGGAGCAGTGCTGAGCCAGGTCGGGGATATTGGCAGAGAACACCCCGTGGCTTATCTCAGCAGGAAGCTGCTGCCCAGGGAAGTAAGCTATGCCGCCATTGAGGAGTGCCTGGCGGTGGTGTGGGCATTCAAAAAGCTGCAGCCCTATCTGTATGGACAGCAATTCACCCTGCTTACGGATCACAACCTGCTGGCTTAACCGGGTCGCAGGGGACAATGCCAGGCTGCTCCGGTGGAGCATGGCCCTACAACCGTATGACTACCATTCATTACAGACCCGGTAAGCAGAATGGCAATGCCGACGGGTTGTCCAGGCAGACAGCCTTAGATAAATGATCCGTGAGCTTGCAATACACCTTTTTACTGCCCGAGGGTGCTTCATTTAGAACGTTTACTTATAATGGTCACACCTCGCTCGCTAGCTAGGGTGCCCACTGGAAGGAGGGACGCGCGCCAGAAAGGAGTCCCTGGGTCTGTGCGTCGGTCTCAAAGCCACAGGGTTCCTGCTGGCTGCATGGAAGTCCGAGCCAACCAATGGGAGAGGGAGCGTCCATTTGAACTGGGTTTGCGCCATTCTCCTGATTGGTTGGCGCGAGTAAAGCGCTGATTGGTCGCCACAGGGAGCGGGCAACCAATCAGAGTAGGAGCGCTTGTTCAAACGGGGTTTCACACCCTTCCGTCTGATTGGGCCACAAAACCCCTCTCCTCCCCGAGGACCGATTGGTGCAGCCGAGTTTCACACCCTTTCTTCGGATTGGCCGGTGAAACTCCTTTCTCCCCCAACGCTGGTTGGCGCGATTAGTTTGTGACCTTTGTTGCTTGGTTTGGGCGTGAAGTTTGAAAACTAATATCGGGGATGTACATAATAATCCGTATAAAGTGTAACCCTGTACCACCTTACGGTCCCGGGGCGCCGAGCCCCAAAGTTCACCCCCTGTATGTTATGTGTACTCATGAGTGTCCCTGTGTCCTGGTAGTATCTCCCAGAGCGGGAAATGGTTATCTGTTCCCCAGCCTCCACCTGCATGAGATTGTGTTGTGTAGGATGGAAACCCTCTGCAGGAGGTCTGTGCATAAAAAGCTGTGTGCGCAAATAAACAATGTCAAAGATTGTATTCTGGAACTGTGTCCCTTCCAGTTACTGGAGATATGGGTCTGACCTATCCTAACCAAAATGGATAACCAGCCAGGTTACCCAGGTCCCGCTACACCAGCTGGTTACCCTCGCTTTTAATGTATTATGAGACCCATTTCCCCCTCAGTAACTGGGCGACACACGGTTCCATGGGTACAACAATTGACAATCTTTGCAGCTTTTTATGCACAGACCCCCGCAGGGGCTCTCCATCCAATACAACACAATCCCAGGCAGGAGGGGGCTGGGTTGCAGATAACCATCTCCCCCTCTGAGAGATGCCACTAGCACACAGCGACACACATGCC